GTGCCACGGGCGCTGGCGGAGGCCGGCGGCCGGCGGAGCGGGCGAGCGGGCGCCACCTGGCGGCGCCCCGCCGCGGAGCCGAGGTTACCTCAGTGAGCGGCGGAGGGGGACGAGGTGCTGGAACCCCACCGCGATGGCGGTGGAGGGCGGCGAGCTCCCAGTTTGCAGGGGATGCGAGCAATGTGCACGGTAACTAACCCTGCCCGGGGCCCGCCAGCGGCCTGAGGCAGGGCTGGACCCTCACAGGCCTCACTGCCCTCAGGGTCCCTCCAGTCCTGTCTCTCCTCAGGACTCCCATGCATCCCCCGTCTTCTCCCCTACACAGAAATTGTGCTTTTAGATGAGTTTTCACAAGCATAGTAATTGTCAGGCTTCGAAGAAGATGAACAATCCAGTTAAATAACTTGATGGTGGATCCTTTTTATTGCTGCAGATCCATTATACTATCTGCCTTGGGTTTATCGCTGTCCTAGAGGCAGCATGCAGTGTGCCTTTCTCCCATGAGGGATCTCCCATGCAGATCTCACAAGTCCCGTGAACTGCATTGGTTTCCCTGGCCTGTGGCCTCAAATTGCAATTGCTTATTAAATTATATCAATTATTTGTCCTTGAGACTGGGGAAGCCCCTCTCTGATATGATTTGAACATACGCTCAAACCCAATTGCTGTAATTCTTTACAGAAAGAACAATATTGCATTTCCAGGTGAGCAGGATAAGCAGTGTTTAAATATACTTGTTTCAAAGAACTCTGCTTTATCTTTTGAATAAATTGCTTCATAGAATAACAACCTATTCATTTTAGCATCAAAATAGCAAGAATGTATTTTAAAAGAGCTATTTTTTTCTGTCCCTGGAAATGGCCTGCCTACCTCCTTTTTTAAACACTGTTTTTATAACTCCCAGTGGCCTGGATTCAGCATGGAGTTAATATTTTCCTCCATGACGCAGTAGGCAGAACATGCTGAAACTTTAAAACCCAGAAGCGTATTCTCTATGATAAACAAAAACAAACTAAAAAAAAAATATCTCTAAGGACTCTGCAACTCATATGGGTTTTACCATCTGGCACACAGTCCTGGCACACTGTAAATCTTTGGAAGTGGTATCTCCTTTACAGACCCTAATACATAAAACCCATATGCCAGAGGCTCTCAGAGGCCACCCCCTTACGCTGCAGACATCACGTTATAGCAGTGATCTTCTATGAAGACAAAACTTTTATGATATTTTAGATGGCAAAAAAAAATCCATTACCTCCAAGCCCTAACAGCATGGATGTTGCCAGGGAGGCAAGTTTTAGTCATGGTGCCTTTCTTTAGAAAGGTCACCAATCACACTCAACACAGAGAGCTGGGAGTTGAGTGAAGGCAAAGCAGGAGAGGGAGGGTTGAATGTTGAGTGCTTTAAAGATAATTCCAGAGTTATCTCTGGAAAAAATTAAAACAACTCACATCAAGACATCTAGTAATACAAGATACTGAGGTTACATTTGATGAATACCAACCCCAATGACAAATATACTCTGTGTAAATCTGAGCTCCATGACTTTTGGCAAGGATGTTAGCCAACAGCTCAAGAGTCCTGGCACAGATTATCAACATGCCCATAATTTTCTGCAGGCACAAGTACATCTGTTAAATCATTCCTCTGTCCTTCCCTTCAATATATAATATCCTAAGTGTTGACCACTTTGTCACCAAGCTTTCTGTCATAGGCCATACCTGGCCTGCCCGACATGAAAGGTCTGAATGAAGCCTGGAGGCATCTCTGAGCAGGTTCTGATGCCAGAAAGCCTAATCAGGTCTAACCTTGTGAATAATAAACATGAGGCAGTAGATCCAGCTTGTCTGCTTTCTAGGCTCTGCATCTTTTTGATCTGCTAAAATTAGGTTAATGAAGATACAGGATGCATGTAAGAAACAGGAAAGACATTTTCATCAACATGATGGACTGACAGCAGTTGAGAGAATCTATCTGCTTTCAGGGGATTCGTAGAAAATTTTGCACAGGAGAATTTTAAGGAGCGTTTACAGGAGGATGACATGGTAAACTGTGTAAGTTCACAGGGAAGACTTTCAAAACCTAACACTGTGCGAGAAGCTGACTCAAAAAGGCATATTCCAAAATGTTAACGGGTGGATGATAGATACTAGCATCTTAATGTGACAGGAAGCAGAAGCAAGATCTTAAACCTGATCTGAAGAGATGAGTGGGGAGAAACAATGTGGGAGGAAGTCTGTGTGGGAAGAGCAGGACAATGCGCTGTAGGGGTTGAAGAACACAGAGGCCATGTGTTAAGGAGGGGATAAGCCTAAAACAGGAACAAGGAACAGTCGGAACAAGAAACAGTTTTTGCAGCAGAATTTTTAATTTATCTGATTCCTTTTGTAAAGCTTAGAGGGAAAAAACAAAGTTTTGAGGTATGGTAGGTATCTTGCAAGTTACAAAGAAATGGCATATTGTAGAGACACTATAATGGAAAAATCTACAGGATTTAAGCACAGCACTACTGCACAGATTTTGAGATACTTGAGTTATATGACAGGCCTATGTGATGTTGAGGAAAACTATATTGCTTGTTGGGAAAACATGCTGGGTGAGGATGGAGAATTACCTCTGAGCCTGAATATGAGGAGGTTTTAAGAGGTTTTTTTGGGGCCATAAGTGGAATCTCTTCTTTCTATTAAGTGCTGAATTATGATTTCTGATATAAATAGGAATACATATATATCACTATATGTCTTGACAGTAATACCTACCAATGATATAAAGTGCAGCACCATAGTAAAATGAGTGATTGAAAACAGGGACTGTAGCAGAGGAAGTAAGAGGTAAATATGACTAGAGCTTATGTTCAACAGATGTAGCAGAAACTGCAATGCAAAAATATTCTATGTATTCCTTGACTTTAAACATTACTAGGCAAGAAAAGTGAATAAAGCCGAAGTCAGAGTTGGCAGTTTTTCTTAAAGTGGGGAAACCAAAGGTTGTCTGTTCATACCATCTCTTTCAGGCATCTTGATGAATTTCAGTTTCATGATCAATTTAAGCTGATCTAAAACCAGCCTAATGCCAAAACACATGGTCCAGCTTTCACAACATTTCTGCTGATGCTTTTCTATTACCAAACTAAATCAATTTAAAGTTAACTCTGGAAAAACATTACTAATTTTAAGCAACATCAGTGGATTGACGTGATCTTCCCATGCCTGCCCAAGTCACTATAGCTGATGCAAGGGAGAGGGCAGGAATAAGCAGTTTGGGATGGAATGGTGAGGGAAGAGGTAGGATGACTCCTTTCCAGGGCAGCAGTTTTAGATCAGCTTAATCCAGCCATGAAATAGGAGTACCAGAGACTCAAAGCTGGTGTCAAATTTAGGGGCTCTGAATGATGATTAGGAATCCCTAGGTTTCCTAGTCTTTACACATTTTTCTCTCTACTTTTCAACAGTTTCACAGTAGAGGATAAATATTTTTTCTCTAAAATAGAAATTATAAAAAACTCTCTCTTCTATACATTACAGTTTTCCAAAGGAAAAATAGAGAACTTTTGCCACAGATTTTCTTTCACATTTTTCATTCATTTCAGTCCTTACATACCAAAGAAATGCGTACATATTTTACATTAATTACACAGTTCAGATTTTTGGTGATTCAAAGGCTGTAGCAACTTTTTACTTTTGCTGAATTTCTGTATCCTTAATTTATTTCCAGATATAGCAAAATACAGTATCAATCTGAACAATTTCTTTTGCTTTCTGTTCTTTACAAGTATAAAAATATCTGTGAAGTTTTTCATATCTTCTGTGTGTTCTGATTTTCTTTTTAGTTCTATCATTGCTTTTTTTTCACCACAAATGACTGAGCTTGTGCCTAATACAGTGATCATACAAAAATACATGATGTAGCAAATGAAAGCTTGGCAGGATATTGTTGCAAAAATTCTGCAAATATTCCAGCACACCTATTAAAAGAAAAAGAAAAAAGACCCAGCACATACATATTTGGCAGTTGAAATTTACTGACATTCATGTTTGCTAAACTTTAAAAATGCAGGCATGAGCTCACAGAAGTATATTTTATACTATCCATTATTTATTAAAAACTGCTTACATGCTTGTCCAATTGGGTAGCAAGAATAATGTGTCATTTATCATGCTTACTCAACTAAGCAAACCAGCTCATAGTTTAAATATCTAACAATGATCCTTGTGCAAATTATTTGTGACCCATAAGTGACTTTAAAAAGGCATGGAATACATTCTCATTGTGGATAATCTGGGGAGGGCACTGTTGTCTGTTGCAAATATATGTAAAAAGAAGAGAAAAAGTTACGTTTCTCATCATGAATTAAACGTTTCTCTCCGGCAGAGTGACTGCTGAGCTTATTTTAGGTTACATTCACAGATGCCAGTGAGGAAAAGCATTGTCCTTTTTTATTTTATCAACTTTGGTTTACTCTCTAATCTTAATTCCTTTGCCTCCCCTTTTTCCCATCATTTACTGCTACATTTTTATTTTATGTCAGCATTGTATTTTTTTATATTTCATATCAGCCTGTTTTAACACTATGAATGTTTTACAAGAACCATGACATCATAAAAAAGGCTATCTAAATTTAGAAATAGGAAATCAAGTGGGAAAAATAAAAACTTGAGAAAAGTTAACAAGGGCTTCTATTGTATTAATTGTCCTGAAAATTGTGCAACAGATCCATTCTTAATGAAACAATATGTTCTAATGATATAAGTGTACACAATATGTTTCCTATTTTAGGAATCCATGAAACATCTAAAACTGTTGTCCAGAATTCAGATGAGTATGTAACTCTATGCAATTATAAAGAAAAGCACACTAAAATAGAATTGCTAGAACAATTCAAACTTACATCAAAATTTATTAAACTATGAATATGTTCAGATAGTACAGTCAGTACTGTTCTGAATTCTGTGCAGATTCAGAACTATTAAAGAGCAAAATCAAAACGGCAGTATAGTACCTGTCAAGAGCTGAAAGCAGTCATAGCTGCAGTTCTTGTTTTGCCTTTACTGTTGTGACTCCTCTAGTGCTTCTGATGATACAAAAGAGAATGACAGAGATGAGTTAATAGCTTCTGCCTAGCATCCTTCAGAATATCCTGTGTCCCATTTCCACAGGCCCATATTAATCCTTAAAGACCTCCTGTTCTGGAATGTTAACTTTAATTATGTGCTTAATCACTTTCCTGAATCAAAATGTAGAAAATCAACTTTGTTAGTGCAATATATAACAGATTTTGCGGGCACAGCTATTTTTATCATATTGGAATGAACAATCCACCTTGATGTCTTATCCTTTTTAATAATTTATATTCTCAACCATCATTTTTACAGTCCTATATTCACTACGAATATTTCTTACTGAAGGTATAAAGTAGCCCTTTGGAAAGAGAGGAGAAAGGAAATAGCCCAACAGAATGCTCGCTGAATCTATGCTGATTCTGCTCTGACATTTCCCAAAGATAGTAAGACACAATTACCTACCTATTTCTTATAGCTTTTGTTATTACTGAGGTTGAGGTAGTTTTTCTCCTATAAACTTTCTTATGCACTCTTACACAAAATCAATAACTAAAGAAAATAAAAAAAAAGACTTTATTTTCAAAGGACATTCATTTTCATGTGATACTTGACCCACATGATTAGACTGTGATTATCTATCTAAATAGAATCATCTTCATTACCCAGAAATTATGATACATGATAGGATATATCATATATACCTATCCCATGATATGGGATGTTGTTTAAGCATTTTCTGTATTATTTGAAAAGAATAAAAGTTTGCCTAACTACAAAGTAATGTGATAAAATTATCTCATTGGTCTCTGAGATTCTGATCACTTTATTATTCTTGATCCTATAAAATTTAAGGAAAATTAAATCCTTTCAACAATATATAAGAAATATTATTTTCTTCTTAAAGAGATAAAGCCTTTTAAAAAGAAACAGATCATTATACCATATCCACAGCATCTGTTGCTAAATTTGCCTCTTTACTACTTACACAGATGTGAGGAATATTTCTAGAAGCCTACATTTTATAGAGTTGACATGCCAAAAGTTCACTGACCACACTGTCATCTTCCTAATAGCTTTGTTTGCTAGTTAGTTGTTTCTGAGTGCACTTGTTCAAAAGGATTTTGAAGCTGCTGATGTGTTGCATTTAGTTCTTTTGAAATGCTGAAAACAGTGTCTTATTATGTTTAGCTTTTAGCTTACCTTTGTAACCAGTTCTAATTGTTTAATTTACCCATGCCCTTTTAAGGTGGACAGCAGAAAAATCCTCTCTTCTCAAATTGCCTGAAGATTATCCTTCAGTCAGTTGTCATTACATTGAACTGGTAATTAAATATTTTTTTTCAGTGAAACTAAAATTACAGCTGTGAGGTTAAAGTACTCAGATAGGTTTTAAGAGTTCAGGCCTTGGCCAAGGGTTCCCTGCCCAGCCTTAGGCAGGACTCTCCATCTTCTTGCACCTAAGTTTATTTACCCTTTGTAAAATGGAAAAGAATAGCCATACTCTTCTTCCCCTCTTTTGGGCACTACTGAGATTTTAAGCGACAAGGATCAAGATCTTTCACTAATTATACATTAGGGATTATAATTTCTTAACAAATTTAAAAGATTCATGATTTTAAGAATAAGAGTAGTCCCTTTGAGATACTTTATGTGTGGCCTATCTTTCCAGGGTTGTTAGGACTGTTTAAAAAGTATGAAGACTTTGTGGCATTTTTGCAATTAGGATGCTATTAAATTGCCTTTTTGCTCCCATTTTTAAGAAAGACTTTGAGCCAGCTGCTGGCTTAGCCAGCATGATAATGGCAGAGATAGAATGAAAAGAAACTTTATTTCCCTTTGTACTATGATATTCTGAATCCAGGCTGAAGGTTAGATTTTGCCTGCCTCTTTATGACAGTGAAAATTATATGTGTTTATCTCAAAATATCAGGTGCACTTTTCTTCAGCTGTCAGTTAGACTTAATTCTGTTGTTAAAGGATTTGGCAGTTTGTGACTATTAAAAGCAGTCTGAAAGGGATATTGCCGCCCTTGGCTGAGTTTTGCATTTTAGCTGCATCACTATTTAAAACCTCTGTATTTTCCATGTCACATGAATTCTCAAGTGTCGTCTTTCAGAAGAATGGACAACAGCTTTCAATACAAGTATACAGAATATACCTATCTATCTTCCCAATATCCTGTTTACATATTTTATATATTTGCTTAATGTTTACTTAAATGCATTAAAACCTAATAACATCTGCATGTTACACCAATGAAAAATGGACTATAAAATCATAGCAAAACTGAAAGTCAGAATGACAGAATATTCTTTGTATATTCATACAAGCAGCAAAATCTAGAAATTATCTAAATTCAATCTTCCCAGATCTAAAATTCCTAAATATAGAACAAGTCAGGCATTTCTCAAGTTAAAGTAACATGCCATGAAAGAGACAAAATAAATTTGAGCTATTTTAGATTGGGCAGAATATTAATTCTGATTTGCAGACACCTTCTCTATGAAACCTATAACAGTAATTTCTATTCTTAGCAACAGAGGAAATTCTAAGTTGACTACCTCCGCAAGTAATGTCATCTGACACCTAATGTTTCTGAGAATGAGGTCTCCAACATGAGGACACCGTGGGTATGAAAGCATTTACTCCACATATGATCCAATAATTTTCCTTTAGAAGAGGAGTTTTTGAAGTAAAAAGAGTGTCTTCATTTTTAATTGAGATGAACTAGCTCTATCAATTGATTTGAAATAATTAATTTCTGCTTGGAGAATATGCACTGTCTGCACTTGTATCATGTTCAAGTAAGACCTGATCCTTCTACTCATATTGATCCTAAAACCCTTGCAATGGAAGTGTGCCTTAGTCTGGCAAAATACATGTATTTTTCTGTGTTTGTATGTGTATATAATATACATATATATTTCCAAGCAATGAATAATTATATGTTCAAAAGATTTCTCCAGGTCTTTTACTTTCTAATATATTATACCCTTGGTAGAGGGAGACTTCTCAGTCTTTGAATATTGAAACCGATATTAGTATGTGTTAGCATCACGTATGAAGTTAACACCAGTTACAGATATAACCTTCCCACTGGGTAGTCATTAAAAAGTTCCTCTTTCTGATTCCTGTGTAAACATCTAGATTAGATTCTTAATAAGAATTCTGTGAACTGTAGTTGAAACAAAAATAACAGATCTATTTGAGGTTTGTTACAGTCACTTCTATGTCCAGTTGACCTTGTCCCAATTTTAGCTTTGTTTCCCTCCTCTGTGTGGCTTCTGGGAACCTGCTTTGAAAATAAAATCTACTCAGAGGGTCAGCTCCTGAATTTTTTACTCTGATAAAACTTCTATCTAGTTTTGCCTGGCAAAGACTTGTAAACAGTTGCCTTTGCACTCCTCATTTCTTTTTCTGAATCAGAGCTAAAGTTCAACTGCTAAGGCAATAAGAACCTAGAACAAATTAGGATCTATTGAACATAGTCAATGTTTTCCAAACTAAGATTCATAATAGTGGAAAAAAACCAACCTACCAGTTCAAGCATACAGGAATTTTAATATCTATAATGTTTGTACATTCAACATTAAGAATTTGGTTTTTTTTTAAGATGTAAAAGGGGGGGGGGGGGAATGTGAACTAACTTTACCCGAGAAGCTAATATTAGCTTCAGCAAAGCATTTCCAACTCAGACCATATGCTAGTAACTAGACTATGGTTTTAAAATGCAAGTACAGAGCACTTTTTCGAGGTTTTCATACTGAGATGAGAGAGGAAAAAAGAGGTAGTGCACCTCGTGCTTCTTTCCTCCATAGGCTGAGGATACACTGTGCAGCTTTTAACATTGCACTGGGCTGTAAAGCTAGATCAACACATGTATCTGCCTCTTTGACCCTCTTGTATCACGGCGGGAGCATGCACTACTTGTGTCACCTACCTGGTAACACTGAGAAAACCATTGTGTTTTTTAATTTTCATCAGTTGCTTGCTCTTCCTCAGTTTCTTGATTAATCAAGATATTATGAACCTGACCTCTTTTGTAAACTGCTTTAAAATGTTTAATAGTTTATCTTCGTTTATAATTGAAACAATGGTAAATGGTTGCAGGATCTCTGGTAATTATTAGTGCAGTTTTACTTTTAAATAGCCATGACACGACAGTCTCTTCAATGGTGATCCAGTACGTACCAGAAAAGCTTAAATTTCTGTCCCTGTTTCTCAATTATGCTAAAAATTTCTATTCTGCTCTGATAAACTAAAATAATCCCCAAACTTAAACCTCAGAGATCACATAAATCAGGGTTTTCCTAGTGACATAATATACATTTATTGTGAAATACTATAATAAAAAAATCAGAAGGCTTAATCTGGGGCCACCACTGCTTTGTGAGCATTTCATATGCAGAAGATTGACATTTAACTGATAATTTCCACATAAACTCTTCTGGTCGCATAAGTACTCCCAATAGCTGCGCACAAACATTCATGCGTGCAGGCCTCTGCCCTGGTAAGTGTTGCAATTTTCTATTAACACAGTTAATCGCTAAGCATCAAATGCTGCTACTCAGTGGCTAGGAATAGATCTTTCACAGCCTGACCAAGCAATAGCAAATTAAGGAGTCCACAATGCAGACCAGAGCTTCAGTGACCTCCACAGTGGCAGATTGTGTACAAATTCCCTGGCCATCTCCTACTTTTTCCCAAGTCAGCTGCATGCTAGGGTATGGAAAAAAATTGCTGAGGATTGCATAATGCATCTGTGAAAGCCGTACTCATCAAACCCTTTATCTGTCTCCTGTTGTTTTTAATAGAAACACAAAGGGAAGTATTGCACCCTCCTCACTTTACCCATAGTAGACAACTCTTAAGTCTAATAGAAATAGCCACATCATTAAGACAAAAAAAATTGTGGTCCAGTATATCTTGCTCATCTGTTTTGATGAAGGAAGTATGTGCCTGTTTGCTTTTTCTAGTAGTATAGCTGTTGATGTTGTGTGGGACCATCAACAAATACAAGACCGGATGTTATCCATACTGAAGTAAATGCTAATACCCCCATAAGGAGAGCAGGTGCTAAGAGCTTGTGAAACAGGTGCTATATAGCTAAATTTGGAAGATATTTTTGGATACCACCTACATTGCAGAGCATGTAGTATTGATTTCAAACTGTTTAGCTGTTCATCTTGTGAAAACAACACAACAAAATAATTTGAGAGGAAGTTTGCAGCAGGATGGATACACAGAAAAATACAGCAGTTATTTCAGAAAATAACATTTTAGTAGATGAACAATAGCCACCACATTTAGCATATAACATTCTACATGTTGCATTTTATGTCCAGAAAAAGATTTGCAAGAAAAATGCTGATGTACTTAGAGTTTTGAAAAATTATCTTCTTGAGCAGCCAATAGGATATAGAAGGATTCTTCCCAAGAGCATCATGAGTTGTAACATCCTTTAGAGAACAACAATTAATTTAGTGAATAATGTATGCCACAGGTAAACTATGCTCTGTTAACTGAAGTATTAGATCATAAAGTAGTCAAATACCCTCGATTTCAAATAAAAATGGTCTGAAAAGAACAATAAAGTATCAAAATGATAAAATATCATTATTAAAATAACTTTCATTTGATGTACTATAACCATCTTGTTCTACAGTGCACAAAAGTTCCTGGGAAAGTAAAGCTTTTTCTTGCTTTGATAAAGAGAAGTTCTTGCTTTGATAAAGAGAAGTAAAACAGAGCATTTCTTTCTATGTGGCTCTTTTGCTTCAGCCACCATCTATCTCAAACCCTAATATGGAATATGGCATAAATTCAGCACACAAACTAGCCAAACAAAGGTCACTCAATGTCATGTGCACAAAATTAATGCCAGTCACTTGAGGAGTTCAGTCAGAAAGTACAAATGAGAATTTCTGAGACTTTTGTCAGTCAGCCTTCCACAAACTCTACTGACAATCCACAAATGATGTTCTTGCAGGTTTACATTTCTGATGATTCTGCCCGGATCTTTCTCAGATTGATACATTCATCTGTCCTATTTCAGGGCTGTTCTTCCTGTCTTTCAAAATAATATCATATAGAGATGGTATTATAACAGCTTTATAAAACACTGTTTTTTGAGAAGATGACTGAACATTTGCACAGATACTTCTTCACCTTTCATTCATCATTTTTCTTTTAAATTTAAGTTAAAATATAACATCTCCTTGGAGCAGAGGATAAATGTAGAATTTTTCATTTCAGATTGTTGACATTGGCAAAGCTATAGGCAGTTGTAATGAAAAGAACTATGCAATGTTAACTTTGAATGCAAGTACTGATTCCACCTAAAATACATCAATTTCAGTATTATTTGCTCTGCCCTGTAATAGGGAAATATGTAGGAATTAGGGCTTTTATGCTTATGAAATGTTAAAATCTGCTCTCAATTATTAATTATTATGCAATTAATTAAAAACAAACAAAAAACAAAACAAAAACCAAAGCCACAACAAAAACAAAAACAAAACCCCAAAACCCAAACCCAAACTATAAGGATCAAATTCCTCACAGAATAACTGAAGCAAAGTCAATTCCAATGGTCAGTGTGACCCAGTATGCTTACTACTACTGTTGCAACAATCTTTTGAAAATGCAGACTTGGAAGATGGAAAGAATGAAGAAGAATGAAAAAGGACCACAATGTGTGACACTAATAATTCTTTGTTTCTCTCCTCTGGCTCATTTAAGGACTTTTCCCTGGTTCTTAGGAGTGCATTCCCCAGGAATGAAAAGAGATTATTCCTTATTTTGCTTACCAAAGTACAGAGGAAGGAACCAAGCCAAGGTCTGTTCACCTGCTCTGGCTTACAAAGCAAGTCTTAATTCTTGGAGGAGCCACCTGCTCCCAAATGCATGTAGAAGTATCATAAATATTTCAAATACCGCCTGTACTGTGGGAAGTTCCAGGAAGCGTCAAGGTCTCACTGGAACAAGAAACCTCCCCTGCGAAGTCATGAGGTTATGCAATGCCTCGCTGTCCTTGTGGGGATAACTGAGCTTTCTGTGTTGCTTATTAAAACTCAGATTACTTCTTACTCCTTTTAAATCTATGTTTGTGGTTTCTTATTAACTGTTCCTTTAGGATATTATCGAAGTCTGATGATACAAAGTCCAGTGTGTGCATTCCTTTACTTTCAGTCCAGTTTCCACAGGAATGTAGCTTGTAACTGCAGTATTTGTATGCTTCTGTGTCACCTATCTGCCAGCCCCTAGTAAATCCGTTAGCTGCTTTTAGCTAAATTCAGCAGAGAGCTAGAAGACTCATCTGTACTTATTTTCTACGAATCTCATGAAAATAAGCAGCCAGGGAGGTTGAGAGGGACTCAGACGTTGCTCTCCTGGCAGGAAAGGCTGCAGTATGAGTGCAACCATGGAATCCACATGGAAATTCACCTCAGCTACGAATCACGGAAAAAGAGGCTTCATTAATTCCACTGCTCATGGAACTACTTGTTTTGGGTAATACATGTACACTGAGAATTCGGGTGGTAATATCTTTGCTAATTCATAAAGCATTAACACTTTTGTACACTAATGTATATAAACAGCAAGACATATTGATCGCCTAATCCATCTCCAATCAACATCAAAGGAATCTTTCCACCGAGTTAAGTGGGAGTTGGACTAGGCCCATGTATAGTATTACCCATCATAAACATTTATAATAGCAACATTAAAACATAGTTTAATCTATAAAAGACCCAAAAGCAGAAACAAAAGGAACATTTTAATCCAGTTTTCAATGTCATGGTGAATTTCATTTATACAAATAGCAGTGTAAAAGGAAAACACAGATTCACATTAATAAAGGCAGAAATGAGTGTACCATAAGTGCAAGTAATGTTCACTTCCTTCACTACTCCTGCAACTTTATGATATTTTGGAAATTAAACTTTCCATTATGCTAGTTCTTGTTCAGCCACACTCTGCTTGCAGAGGTGGTTTTCACTGAAGATCGCCAAAGTTATTCTGCTGGATGGAAAATTAATGTATATGAGCTTTGAAATTCCATTACTCCTTTTTTTAAAACATCTATGTAAATTAACATGAAAATTTACAGAAGACTTGGCTTTCATGGACTCGTGGAAGTCCTACAGAGGCTTTGGTAAATGCCTCCATTGAGGAAATATTTCATATCCTCCAGTAGTCTGCTATTCCACCCATGCTTCTGAACCGACGTTTAAGCTCATTTAAGCCATTAACTGTCCAGATTAGTCCTGTACAGGAAAATCCTGTGTGGGGAAATGGAAATTCCATGGCAAGCTCCTAGCAGAGTTCTGCTGTATTGTTCTTGTAGGGAGGAAAGAGAGGTTGTGTTCCCACAGAATAAGCAATGAGCTTAACCCAAGGGGTCCTCACAGGATTTGTCAGGGACTAGCAGAAATTACACGTAAAACTTCTGTGTCTTTGGATTGAATTTTGGATCCCCATCTCCCAAAGAACTGTACTACCAAGTTCTGCCTCACTAGCTGCTGCTGCCCCAGAAGCAAAATTGAAAAGGTCATTGAAATTTATATAGTTTAAATGTGGTCGGGACATTTAAAGCTAATGTCAGTTAAGAATTTCTACTGGTAGGTTTAGGCCTCTGGTTTTGCCTCTCCTGATTGCAAATCCTCAGTCCTATGAAAGAGCATCCAAAATAGAAGGGGAGTTCCTGAAAAGGAAACGCTGTTTCCACCTATAGAATTCATCTTGGGGTTATGTTTTTTTGCTACTGGGAAGTGTTTGAACTACTTAAGCCTACGTTAAGTTGCTGATCATTGTATCAATCAATATGTATGTGTGCTTACCAAATACTTTTTTTAAAAGGAAAAAGAGAAAAAGTTTTAAATATAAGCTATTTATTGGAATACTTTCCAGCCCAGGAATGTGCCCTGACTGGATCCTGAATGAATAGCACGGCAAGCGTGTAAGTTAGCCCTTCTCTCGTTTTCCTGCTCTTCTTACCTCCATGGAAAGAAAGCACACACATAGGCCAGACCATAGCATGCCCTATCACATCCCCTGAATTGGGTTATCATGGGTAGCTGGTAGCACTCAAGTAAACCGTGGTAGAGCCTAACTGACTTAGAAGACTAGATCCTGGTTTCAAATCAATACAAGCATACAGGATTTTACACAAAGGCCATTAATCACCCATATACACTTGGAAATCTAAACTGTGTCTTGTTTGAGTCACATAGGATGTAGGCTTTCCAATAGGAGTTCTGGACACAGAACTTAAGTACTTTAATTATCCATGGCACTTTGTAAATTTTTAGGTATCATTTCTCCGCTATTGTACTTCCTTCAGTCTCTTATTGAATGAATTTATGATTCACTTGCCCGTGATAGAACTACAGTTTGTGAATTCTCAGAAGACAGAAGTCTTAAGATCCAATGTCGATTAATGACAATATGAATGGTAATTAAATGGGACCAAGAGCAAGGTATATTGTCTATGAAATGGTGATACTACAGTAAAAAAGCAGACCACAAGAGGCAGATCTAAAATCTAGGGATGAGAAATGGGAGATGCATGCTGCACTCCAGCTTCTTGAGAAGTTCTGAAATAGTAGTGAGGAGTTGCACTATGCCTTCACTATTCCCTAATACATTCTCAATGGGGCTTTCTCAATGTCTTTAATTGATATTGTTCATTGTGAGAGGCCTATTTAGAAAAAGAGTAGTATAGAGAAAATATAGTGGTTGCTGGCAGAGACATCTGGGCTCAAACATTATGCCCTAATACAAAGTGGCGCACCTCCATCTGGAGACACTGAGAATCTTCCCAGAGTGATCTATGTTGTGCTGTGAGAGCACTGCTTAGGAAGGAGGATAATAGAGTTTCAAGCCCTTTCAGGTAGAGAAAGGATCTCCTCACCTTTTCCCCCTTTCCTGTGCTGTCTGATGTGAGGAGAAGCCCTGTCAGTAACACCTCTAGCAATCTAATTCTCCATCTTCCTGGCTTTTATTAGTGTGCACCTGAAAACTGAAAAGATTTAGAAATGGCAAACTGATGACTACATGCTATCAAGACATTTCAGCTTTGGAGGACCAAAAATAAGATTTACACAGTCTGGAGGAACTGGGTTCCATTCAATTTTCTGGATTTTAATTTTGGTGACAAGAAATAAAAATACTGAAATGGCCTTATTGTCTCTGTAATTGGTTTGACAGCTCAACTAAAAAACCCCAAACAAACCAAAAATAAACAAAGGAAAAAAACAAACAAATACCACCACCACAAAAATCCCTCAGAGTCTTTGCTCCTCAAGCAAGGTTCTTTGTGTAATGCAGCAGAAATAAGCGCCACCCTTCAAAGGAAAGGTCCTTCAGATAGTGTTGAATAATTAATTTGCTGTTTTCTGACTGAATTTCACAACACTTGGTTGACTTGTCAAGAACCCACAGGATCACGTAGTGCACATTTGGATATGTGTAAAGATGAGAAACATCTGCATTTCTGGGACTATGTAAATGGTCTCATTGTGCTTTAGATTTCCAGCTGACACTTGCTGATGTAGGTGAATGGTCACTGAGGCACAGCACTATCATTGCTGCCATAACCCCTGTATCTTAGAAGAATGTTATTGTTGCATTTGCTGCTGTTTGCTATTGTGTAAAATGAAGAGACTTAGACTAAAAAAGTCACCTGTTGAGCGCATATGCTTTTATTTCCAAGAATTTGGATAATTCCATTATATTACATATTGCAAAATGTGCTTCATATAAAAAGCGGTATTTGAACAAATTATATTAATACTAAATTTAATGCATGTTATAAAAGGTCTACTTTTCCCAGACACAATATGATGCTGTTCATGGATTCTATATGGGTAAATTAATGTAAAAAGAGGATTCAGTGTATTAACTACCACTTTCACCACCAGGCAACATTCATCCTCCCGTCTTTCTGTGGGTTATGTATTTGGTGGTGAATACTGCTATACACCAGGCTGCATCTTCAGCCTCTGTTCTAAGCAAGTGTACTTTCTTCCTTTACTACTACTTCCTTTGTCTATTACCTCAATTTCTCTAAGGTTACGCTTTTTTTATGAAAGCTCAGTTAAATCCTTGTACTTTGCAAAGACTGCATTTAGAGTCTGGGCTAGGTTTCCGTCTCTGAGTGGAAAGTGCAGCAGCAAAAAAAATCACTTAAATAAATGCTTTTTACATTGCCTTCTGAGGCTAACAAAAATTGTGATCTGTCAAAACTGTGAAGAAAAATGATTTCAAAGATATGATGGTGTGGAGGAACTCTGCTACGCTACAGATTTTATGCTGTGGCTGTTAGCTGAAGTACCTGGGACAGTCCTAGCTAGTGTGGCAATGCACAAAGACAGTGCTTCAAATAATTCCCCAAATCTCTGGGGGAACTAACATACAACATAGTGGAGTTAATTAAAGCAAGAAGTGAGCTCTCTTTAATATCCAAAATACAGAAATATTTTACAGATTTTTTTTTTTCCCCAGAAAGAAAAAAGAAAAGAAAGAAAGAGAAAAGAGAAAAGAGCAAAGAAAAAAGGGAAGGGGAGGGGGAGGGGGAGAGGAGAGGAGAGGAGAGGAGAGGAGAGGAGAGGAGAGGAGAGGAGAGGAGAGGAGAGGAGAGGAGAGGAGAGGAGAGGAGAGAGGAGAGGAGAAAAGGGGGGAGAAAAGGGGAGAGAAAAGGGGAGAGAAAAGGGGAGAGAAAAGGGGAGAGAAAAGGGGAGAAAAGGAAAATGGGGAAAGGAAAAAGGAAAAAGGGAAAGCAATTCAACCCAGGATGCTAAAGAAGATTGAGGGTGCTGCAGGCAGAATATTCACACGGGTGAGAAGTGTCTTAAGCCTGTAAAGGCAGCTTACAGATAGCTCCCCTAAATGCTCAGGTTTCTATTGTTTTAAACAGCTTATTTCCCCTCATCTTAGAGGGATTTTTGTCTGTCTCTAGTAAGCCTTCCTTTAGGCCACAGGGGAGTTCCAGCTAATTAAAGAAGGATTTATAGTTGTTTTCCCCAAAAGGTCCCAGTACCTGACAGATGAGACCAGGGACCAGGGCCACCTTGAAGTGTGAAGATAGCAGTACTACCCATACAGCACAAAATTCCATGTCACATCTTGCCCATAAGATGCAATGATAACCAGCCTTCCTCTTCCCCTGCCACCACTCTCTTCCTTCTACAGCACTGGCTCTAATTGTATTTAAAGCAAAACAGAATTAAAACTAACACGCAATTGTGACAGAAAATGGTCATTCCTGAAGTTCACCATTTGTTAGAAGCCCATAGAAATTACGTCATTTTTCTTACTTTAGGTCAAGATTATTTTTATTTGTATTTGCTGATTTTTCAGTCTTTGGGATATTTTAACAATATAGTTTTTACCCTCATTGATCCTGAAGGAAGACCTACAAATATCTGTAGATACAGAAGCAGCAGTTTAACTAATATTAACATTGGTCACTTCAATGTGATTTTTAAAGATACTGGTGATTTTGTTGTTCTAACAATAGTAATAGAGAAAGGAAATGTTCTGCATGAAGCGTAGCTGTGAAAGATGCAGAAAAATACATCTAAATGGAGTCCTAGCATTATCAAAGAGGCCTTTCGCTGCCCCCTTTCACCCAACATTGTACTGACAATTTCTGATTTCCTTTAGGTTTTACTCAGCAGTAAAGGGTAAAATAATATAATTACTAATAAATAATAATAAAACAGTAAATAATCTGTCCCACCTGACAGAAATTGCCAGCACATGGTAGAACTGGAGCTCTCATCTGACTCATCTAAAATACTCACCACAACAAGCGACGGCAGTCATCTGCACTGTTCTCAAATTGTTGACAAAGCTCATTTTATAGTCCTGTTGCACCTTTGTGTAACTGAAATGAGTGGAAGCTCTGAATTATATAACACAGGAGAGGAAAGTGGTTCAGAAAACAATAAATAAAAAATACACAAATAAAATTGTATTTTTTTTAATGAATGGGAAGTTTTGCAAAAGATGGCACCTGATTTTTCTGATCTGAACTCCAAACAGTAATTTCAGATAATATAGTTGCAATTTAATTAAATATTTCTTTATCAGATATAAAGTGCTTCACAGTGAGGTCCCAGGGAGTGAAAAATCAGTCCCGACTGCTCTGAATGGGCTTAAATAAAATGTCTAAGAAGAATCT